TGCTTGCAAGTGTGTATATATAAAAGTTGTAACAAAAGAAAAATGTATAGGCACATTTAAAAAAGATTTCCGTGTTATTCTTTTTTCAAATCAATTTTTATTCATAATTATTTTCTTATTATATTTTTACTTGGTACTCTGCAATAAAAGATCACAATCTTCATGAAAAATGCTAATGACATTGTAAACATGACAAATACAACAATTTAAGATTATTATGAATTTGAAACTAAAATAAATAAAATGTCAAAATAAATTGGATAATATAATATAGGTAAGTAATATTTGAAGCTTACAATAAAATAATGAGTTTAAAACAAAAGCAACAGATAAATTGCGATTTTTAAAAACTCCAGTCAAATTAGTAAATCTGTGAATTTTCGTTTCAATGACGTTTTATTTAAACAGTGAAATCAGCAGAACCGTTAGCTACAAAGCCTAATTGGGTTCTTGGAAGAGCTTTTGAAGCTTTTTAACAAAATAATAATTAATAATAATTAAATTAATAAAATAAAAATAGATCTTCACTAATTTAAAAAAGAAATGCTTGTTCTACAGATGCTATTGTGAAAGTTGTTGAAAAGGTGATACTATTGCGACATTTGTTTATAGTATCAGGGCCGACGACACCAGCCACCCCCCCCCCTTCAAATTTTTTTTTTAAAGGAAATTTTTCTTTCTGAAAAATCTTGATATAGAGGACTTTTTTCACAAATTGATGATTGTGCCCCCCCCCCCCCCCACTTCAAACCCGTGTCGTCGGCCCTGAGTATTGCAATATACCTTTAGATAAATTTTACAATATACTTAAAAGTATATTCCAAAATATACCTTTAAATACCATAGTCTCCAAAAAAGATCTTGGTAGTATTTAGCCAATGTGCAAGTAAAGCAAATAATCTTTTGGGTATGTTAAACAATACATTTCTAAGTTTCAACCGTTAATTGAATTTGCTATATCTTTGTGATCTCCATATCTTATGAATGAAATTAACATTTTAGAAAAAGTTAAGTATTTTGCTATTACATTATAATTGCCACTAAAAAGGTTGTTATGAGAAAAGATAAGTTGGGTCTCGCTGCTTCAGATTTTGCCAAGAAAGTTTTAATCAGCAAAAGTTGTTATGAGAAAAGATAAGTTGGGTCTCGGTACTTTAGATTTTGCCAAAAAGGTTTTAATCAGCAAAAGGTCATCGAATAAAATACAATCTTAAAAAAAACAATTTTTTTGCGTAGACTACTTTTAACATTCAGAATCGGCTATTATTCTACTAATATTGTTAATGTAAAAAATGTAACACATTGAGGTGTCTTTTTGTTAATTGAAGTGTCTTTTTGTTAATTGAAGTGGCTTTTTGTTAATTGAAGTGTCTTTTGTTGTTTGAAATTTGATGTTGACGAATTAAAAAATTAAAAATGAATATTGAAGATTTATCGACAGTTTGCGTAACTCTTCACTACTGTTTGCGTAACACTTCTCTCAAAAAAAGGATAGTTTTACAAAAGTCGAAAGTTGTCATCGAACTCTCAAAAACGCAAAGAGTAGAATGTAATGTGTCAAAAACAAAAACTCACTGTACTATGCCAAAAATGAAAACGCATTAATCAAGGGTTTAGCTTAGAACTCTTAGTCGTTAATTTAATCTAAAATTAAATACATTTTTAGTTAAATACGTAACTGTTGCAACAACCATTTTAAACAAAATAGTTCAGTGTTTGTTTTTTTTAAATTAATCATACAGAGACCATACATGGTTTCACATAAAGAAAACATATACGGTCAGGGGGGCACAGAGGGTGTGGGATCCAAGTCGGTTTCGACCGGGCATCACGTTTATGGGGCATCATCAAATGAAAAAAAAAAAAAAATCATCAGTATGCCAAATTAAAAATTGAAAACATCTAATAAAGAAATGAAAATTGTTTACTTTGTTACTTTCATCCACCAGATTACAGAGAGATTTCAAGCTCTGAAACAGTGATGTAAATTATTTTCCTTCATCTGGTCTACGCCTGACACCATCTCGGACTCAACAAACAGTCAAGAGTCTAAAGTTAAAAATCTCGTCCTTCTGTATCCAAATAATTTTAGCAAAGACGGGTTAATTTATGAGTTTCACCATTTTTCGTCTGTCTCTCCTGACAAATGATCAGCCCATAAATCTTCTGAATAACATTTATGGGAAGAGATTTGAAGGAAATTTCCCCATGATATGGATCTGTCTTCGTATCTTTCTTACTTTGCTAGTATCTGTGGCTGAAGGTGAGAAATCTTTTAGCAATTTAGCTCTCGTCAAGAACTCTCAAAGAGCTACCATTCGACAGGATTGTTTTAACGACTGTTTTATTCTTTTAATCAAAACAGATCTTGTGAAGAAAGTTAATTACAATGTTGTTACTTCCAACTTTGCTGCTAGAAGAGCTCGTAAAGTCTTGGTATAACGTCAGAAAAACTTAATACCAAATCCAGAAATATTTTTATTTCTTTGTTGTGTTTAATTATTTAATTCGTGAATTGTCTTCAATACAGAATTTTCAAAATGTTTTGTAAATACTAGAAAAAATAGCTTGATTTTTTTAAAAATCAAGTCGGAAGCATCCTTTTTTTTTTTAATAATATATCTTGGGCATTATAAAGTCTCTATGCACCCCTGTACATAGTTTAACATAAAGAGACCATACACTCTTAAACTATTAAAATAAGAATTTTATAAATTTTGCAATATTTAATAATGTTGAAGATAAGTTATGTTTTCATAGTTTAGTTAAAAAGTGGTATTTGTGAAATCGATGTGCTAAAGTATGAAGTGTATGAAGTGGGTTAATCAGTGGGTTAAGTATGAAGTGGGTTAATCAGCTTCTAGTTGCATTAACGTAAACTAAACTAAAATCACAATACGTGTAAAGTAAAGCACAATATTCAATATAAATGGATGTAAGAGTCGCCTACTTTTCATTAGGGGAGACTCGGGTAGCCCCGGACACATAAGGAAAATATAGATTGTATAATGTGCTAACAGAAAACAAAGTGTCAAAAGACTTTTTTTAAAAGTTCAAACAAAAGTAGAAACAAAAAAAATAATTATTGTGTATCTTAATAATATACAAAACATAAAAGTAAAAATGATAGAAAAAAGACATGTTTCAAAATTGGAGGGTAGCCCCGGACACATAGTTTAACCATGATTTTACCTCTTTTTTACCAGTGTGACACAAATGTAATATATAATGATTTAGCATTTGACTGTTCTCAACAAATTTTTAAAAAATCGCCTTTAAAAATTGTCTCTGATATATACGGAATGAGAATGAAATGTCATCATTTAAAAATATAAATATAAGCTTTTTTATAATGAAAATAAACACTTTAAAAACACTTTTTTCAAATGTAATGTTTTTTTATTGGAAGTAAATGAATTACTATTATAGATTTGTTTATTATATTAAATGTATGAATATTTATATAAAAAAATTGTTTATTATTAACATGTAAATGTATTAAGTTGTCCGGAGCCACCCTCCAAACATGTGTCCGATACCACCCGATTATAGCTCATTCACATATACTAGTTTTAAAATCAGTGAATTAAAGTTTTTAAGGAATTTTTTTTTAATAACTATTGTAAATAAAAATACATCTTTAATCATTAAAAAATTATTAGTTTACATAAAAGTTAAGTATATAAATATGTGAATCAAATATGATGATACATCGCTCTTCTGGTGATGGGAAATAAAATCTTGCCCTCCCAGTCATTCACTTCGACATATTATGATAGATATTTTGCATATGCCATATTTTCACTCAAATAACGTTATTATAGTATTAAAAGTCACATAGCTTCTTTTGTTTAAGCTGCACATCAAGTGTCCGGAGTTAGCCGCCGTCTGGGGCTACCCGACTTTCCCTACGCTTTTTTTTTTTAAATATTTTTAAAGAAAAAATTGATAAGCGGTTATTAATCTTAATGAATTGAAATAGTTATTGTCAATTTTATATTAATTTTTTTTTTCATTTTTGAGGAATTTTTATGTTTTTTTCATTTGATTTGCAATTTACAGATTTATAGATATATAAATTTTTGTAGTGTGTGTCTTATTTATTTAACATTTTTATTACACTGTATCTCTACACTCTATTTTTTTTACAGTTCTTTTAAATACTCAGCTTCGTCAGGCGCTTAGAAAACGATTAGAATTTTAAGAAATTCTCTAAGATAAATATTTTTTTGGTGGAAAAATGCCAAGCTAAATGGTCCAGGAATTTTATATATATATATATATATATATATATATATATATATATATATATATATATATATATATATATATATATATATATATATATTATGTTTTTCTAGATAAGTCGTTTTCATCATGGAACACACTTATGTCGTGAGTGTTCTTTTATTGTTGCTAAATAAGATGGCTTGACGTTATAGTAGGCTTTTATGCTGATTTTGAGGAAAAGACTCCAACGAGCGTTTTTAGAACTTGGTACTTAACACATTCAAAGCGTAATTTATCAGAGTATGAACAATATTCTACTAGTATGAGTATGAACAATACAAAACTCATTTCTTTATAAGAATTTCATACGCTACATCAGGGCCGATTTCCATTGACAGGAAATTTTGGAACGGATCAGAAAAAAAAAATATCCAATCATGTAACAAAAGCAATTTAAAATTGCACATCGTTTTTATGTATAATGATTGGACAGTTTTCTTTTTTGTTCTGCGGAAAATTTCCTCATCTTAATTTACATCTTTTAATTTACATCGTAAATTAAAATTTCCTCATCTTAATTTACAAGTTTACTCAACACCGATTGTTTTTTCTCTTAGTATTTTGCACCCTGCGCTTTTTATAATATTTATTCACACCAATTTCTGCCGTTTATTTTAATAATATTATTTGTTAAATATATGAAATAATGCAGTTATTATTTTGTACACATTATTAAAATTTAAAGTTGTTTTTATTTACAAAAAAAAATTTATTTATAATATAAGATTACATCGATCGAGCGAATTTCAATTTTCGTTTTTTAAGAAATCTGGAGTCTAACAGGAAGGGTAACAAAAAACTTTTGCGAACCATAATCTACAATTTTAACTTGGGAAAACGAAATATAAAAAAGTTTTTTTTTATACTTGCTAAAACGAATGCTACTATAAACGAATAAACTATAAACGAATGCTACTATAAACGAATAAACTATAAACGAATGCTACTATAAACGAATAAACTATAAACGAATGCTACTATAAACGAATAAACTATAAACGAATGCTACTATAAACGAATAAACTATAAACGAATGCTACTATAAACGAATAAACTATAAACGAATGCTACTATAAACGAATAAACTATAAACGAATGCTACTATAAACGAATAAACTATAAACGAATGCTACTATAAACGAATAAACTATAAACGAATGCTACTATAAACGAATAAACTATAAACGAATGCTACTATAAACGAATAAACTATAAACGAATGCTACTATAAACGAATAAACTATAAACGAATGCTACTATAAAATTAATCATGGAAAATATTATAGTTTCGAAGATAAAAGTTAGTTGAAAGATAATTAAAGTGTTGAAAGATCTTAACTTAATTAAAGAGAAGAGAATTGAAATCATATGTGAAAAATAAGGTTAGTGGCTTCTGTATTTGCTTCAATTGAAAATAATGTACTTATAAAAACGACAGTAAAAGTTAAAGCAGATTTAAAGAAATATCATTTAAAGCTAAAATTAGACGTTACACAGATACCTGAACCGTTTAAAATACATTATAGTTGGATAAATAAATAAGAGGGTATGCTGCTCTTGCCAATGTTGTTATATCCAAATACGTTTACCTTTTTAATGTTTAAATATAAACTTTTTAAACCTGTATTTAAAATGGACTTAGAGAATTTTAGAAAATAGAAGTTAATGCAAAAAGGTTTATTAAAAACTTTTTAACTTTTTTTCTTTTTCATTTTTTATTTTTTTATATATTGTAATTTATATTGTATTAATTGTGGATAAAATTTATAAATTTATACTTTACAAACATCTTCCATTTTTTAAAGCTAAATAGTTTTAAATCGTTATCACGTATCTCAAAAAATTTTCAAAGGATTTTCAGGTGAAAAAACTGAACTGATGCTATGATTGAAAAACCAGAATTATAAAAATTCAAAGGTCAAAATAATTCGAAATTACTGCTTTTTCCTATTCTTTAAATTTTTTAGTTATAACAGAATATGCATTAAACATAAAGCCTAAAAACAACAAAGTTGCATTTTTTTGCATGTATAATATGTGCAACTTTTGAATTAGTGCAAAAAGCACAGAGCGAAATTTTATTAAGGTCTAAAATACTCTAGCGCCTAATTTTAAAAGCTAAATTTACAAAATGTTATTTTATCCAACACGTAAACTCCAGACACGTTATAAAAACACCAAAGATCCGTCTTCAATTGATCTAATATTTAGTGAAATGCAAGAGCGAATATCAGAGATATCTCCGGGACCAACGCTTGGCATCACTACACATGGACACTGTTGCATAATATGGGAATATGAGACTCAAAAAAATTAATCTTTTCATCGTCTCTCTAACCACCGTCACAATAACGCTAAAGGTGATTACGAGAATCGAAGATTATTTATATATAACATAAATTGGTCACAACTACTAGAACCCTGCGATTGTATTCAACTTTGTTACGAATCATTCTTATTAATTTATGAAAAAACATGTCGATTATAAATTTCTATTAAAACACTAAACAAGCAAAAAATAAACCGACCAAAATAGTTTAAACGATAACGCAAATCTTTTTTTTTTTTGAAACCACAATATTGCAGAAACTAGAAAAGTTAAATTGATGGCTTAAGTCAATACGTTCTAAAAACTGTGCAACGTTATTTTGTATTCCATTAAAAATAATTTTCTGAAAAGTTTTTATTTAAGTTCATTAGAGAGGCAATGGAGCCAGGCAAATGTTACGCCACTACACAAAAGCGGAAGTCGACTTATCGCAAGTAATTACAGGCCAATATCGCTAACATCAGTCATAAATAAATTAATGGAAAGTTTAATTTGTGACTCCATGATGAAACATTCAATAACAAGTAATCTTATCACGTCGCAACAATATGGTTTTGAGCCAAAAAAGAGTTTCACAAATTTGTTAGAGTATCTTAGTTAGAACAGCTTTACATAACAAACATCAAGTCGACGTCCTAATTACTGATTTCGTGAAAGCATTCGACACTGTATCACATGAATACATTATCCATAAAGTTAAATCGTACAGTTTTAATAATAAATTTGCTGCATGGATACAATCTTTCTCAAGTAATAGACAACAACAAGTTGTACGTGGTGAAAACCAGTCTGACTGGATTCCAATCAGTTGTGGTGTAATACAAGGGTCAGTACTTGGACTGCTTTTATTCACAATGTTGATAAATGACCTTCCTTTTTAAACTTTTCCACGTAATAAAAATATACGCCGACGATAGTAAAACTCTTGCATAGCTGGACGAAATTGAAACGAATTACAAAAGAAACTAATTACAAAATGATATAGATAAAATAGCTAAATGGTGTCAGGAATAGAAGATAAAACTTAATATAAGTAAATGTAAAATAATGCATTTCGGTAAGTATAATCAAAAAAGAAGTTATACTATCTTTGAGTTTGATCAAAAAATACGAATTCGAATTGAAGGCTCCGATTCAAAAAAAGATCTAGACGTTATGACATCTACTGATGGAAAATACAGCCAACATATTGATACTGTGCCAACAGATCTAACAAAATACTTGCTTTAATTAAACACACATTTGAATTCTACACCACCTCAATGGCTGAAATATTGTATAAAGCCTTTGTTCGACCGCTTCTTGAATATGCAGCACCAATCTGGAATCTATCAAAGAAATACGATATAGCAGCTCTTAAAAAAGTTCAAAGAACGAACAACTCGAACAAGAAGCCTCTCACATCTAAGTTATGAACCACGATTAAATTAAATTTAATATTACAACGCTAGAAAATCGAAGGTTGAGAGGAGGTTTAATAGAGTGTTTCAAAATTGTCCACGGTTTCATACAAGTTAAATGGTGTATATCTACATCAAAAATAATAATAAAACCTGATGAGTTAGTGGAACAATCTGCATACAGAAGAAATTCAATTCAAAAAAGAACTAATAAAGGAATGTTGTCCATTAAGAGAAAATTTTATTCTTAATAAAATAGCCACTGTATAGAATTGTCTTCCTCCGTCTATCGTGGTATCTACATCAGTGAAAATATTTAAAAATCGATTAGACGAATGTATTGAAAGCAAATATAAAGTCACCGACTGATATAGAGCGTGCTTACATTACACGCTCTCGTTTAACATTATGAACATTTAAATTATTTTAATTGTTATTTTGATAAACTTCAGCAATAAATTTTTACTATTATTATTGTATACTATATATCAAACGACCAAAATATAAAATATAATAATATATCTAACTATCAAAAAATAAAAAATATTATTTGTTACTGTTTTAGTGATTTATTAATTAGTAGCAAGTTAGTATCATCAGCAAAATGGTTAAAACTCTTCTATAGTTGATCTTCTGAACTCTCAATTCAAATCTATGTTTACTCTGAATGAAATTGTAATTGCAACTTGGGCTTCTTTATTTCAGACGTTATTAAGGATTACATCGCAACTTGGGCTTCTTTATTTCAGACGTTATTAAGGAACTCTATTACCGATCTAAACTCTTATAAATCCTATAGAATTGGCGGCTTGCATCGCAATTCTGCTTACAAAAATTATGTATCCAATTACTCTTGAATAGTACCCTCTCTCTTTGAAATTAGTCAATAAAAGTCCGGTAAATAAAAAAAGGAGATAAATTATACAAAGTTTTTATAAGATCACAATTTTAGTATGACGTTTTTGACCTCAAGTCTAGACATCTAAGTCTAGACATCTTAAATACAGTTATAGGGATAAGAGAATTAAAAAAAGTCATTTACACGCACATTCAACAAATATCATTTTTTTAATTACTTTGTCTTGAATACAAACAGGGTAAGTAGTCGACAGCCCATTCAGTCGTCGATGTTTTGTCACTAAAAAATATACTGAGCTAACAGTAAATTAAGTAAAGTGCCGAAATAGAGTCTGAAATGATCACCTATCTTTCCTTTATATATGAAGGAAGTTTGGCTATCGTAAACATAAAAATAAATGTATACAATGATTTGGAGCAAAATTGCCTGAATGATCGTCGAAATAAACACATACGATGATTTGGAGTAAAAAAAGTTCCATAAATACCCTTAACTCTTAGGAATAATTTTCATAACTGTTTTCAGATAACCACAAGAAACGTATAATAGGGGTTCTGAGCCACAATCCAGTGTTTTATGAAGCAACTTCGTGCGTCATAAAAAAAAGAAAAAGTAAAAACAGATGGGCTCAAAGAAGATTAGGATGACAGTACGTCATCTTTTACGTCAATTTTTTCATAGAGCCCCTTTAACAAAATTTCATTAAAATATCGTAATACGTAATATATAATAAAATGTCGTAAAATATATACGTAATAAAATTTCAATTAAATATTGTAATAAATATCGTAATAAAATGCGTAATTTGCTAATAAGATTGATAAACAACAACAACAACAAAAAGTAGAGTGGTAGAGTAATTTGTACCAGTGATTTATGTTTGAAACTAACCCTTCTATAAGTCATTGAATTTTATTCCAATCGTCGATAATACTGCTTTCTAGTCATCAAATGAAAAAAAAATTAAATTTGCTATGGTTTTTGGAGAAAAATTTCAATGAACAAGATATAAGGTCTTAGGTCACCGTCATGGTAACCTTGGCAAGGGTTTTTGGAGAACTGCTTTTAAAAATATTGTTTTCTTGATTGTTATGATTGCTACACAACAATTTCTTTTAAACAATTATTAATGGTTTGTAAAGTTCTATTTGCACAACCATTAAAGATTGCAACACTGTAATTTCCTTGGAGATTAATTCCAAAACTTGAAGTTCTCAAATGAATGTCTCAATGTTTTTATTGTTATTAAATGTGAATATCCTTCTAAATATAAAAAAAATTAATTAAATTAAAAGTAAAATAAAGTTAAAATGTCTCTTAAAATAAGCTGCTCAAAAATGGCGTTAAGATCCCAATATATTAAGGAGGATATTGGCAATTCAGTTCAATTTTATAATCAGTTTTTACTGTACGCAAGTAGATGCTACTGAGAAGCTCAATGTTAGGTCTCAAACCTTATCTGATAAGTATTGCACTAATCTTATAGAATCACTGGATGCAGTTGCAACTGTAAAGTTTTAGATTATTTGTAATTATTAAATTTTCAAACTGTAATTCAAGCCTTTTTTTTTAAAAAAAGATATCCATACAAACATTTAATCCATTTATAATTGTACATATCTTTTACAGATTTTCATTTGGATGCGATGGCTCGGTCATTAAATATTTTCATTTAGAATCATTGAGCTTTCCCACTAGGAAAAAATAGTTTAATTATTTACAAAGAAAAAATGCAGATAATTAATGAGCAAAGAAGAAATTTAGATAATTGAAAAGCCCTGTAGAAGGATGAACCCATGTAGAGGAATGAAGCCATGTAGAAGGTAATGTTTATATTTCCTTTAAATTCTATTGAAATAGCATAGCTAATATTAAGTTGCATGTATTTTGTAAATGTTTGCCCTGACACTCGTTTTTAATATTGTTTTTTTGTATTTTCAATTTTTCTTTTCCATAGCCGCGATCAACGAAACATTTTTAGCTCCTCCTAGCCTAACTGCATCAATATCGCTTTCTAAGCGAACAGCTATAAGCAAAGCCTTATTGCATCGTAGATGGTTGCCCTCGCTAAAGTTTCTAAATTCACTATTTCTAAAGTTAGGACAATTACTTAAGAATTTCATGCAACATTTGTCTTGACAACACCTTAAATAGTTTCAATGTTAGGGGATTAATGAACCATTGCCGCCAAGAAAATTTCATCGCCGCCAAGAAAAACTATTGCCGCCAAGAAAATTCGCAAACAAATACGATTAGCATCTGCAGAAAAGTAAACACACACTTATATCGGTGTTAAAAGAAAGTTAAACTTTGATGCTAAGAAAAACACAAAAATAAAGCAGAAAAAAAAGTTTCCTATTTTAGTTTAAATTGTATAAAATTTTATATAAAATATTCCATAAGTTTTTATCTTACGCTATGTAATATATAAAAAAGACTTTTAAATATTTTCTTCAGAGTATGTTTTTATAGTTCATGTTTTAAACTATTAAAAACATACTTTTTTTTGTTTTGCAACATATCAGTTAAGTACCTGTGTTTAGAACAATACCTAATTTAAAATTTTTTAAAAGTGTCGAATATTACAGAACAAATACGTCGATCTTGAGATGTTGTCCTTTAATCGACATTTCGGCTGCTAGAAATCCTTTATTCATTTTCGGATGTCATTTACTATAAATGTATTGTAAAGAGCAATGATCCCGTTCTACAATAAAACTTTAAGATTGATCATTTATGATAAAACGAGTGAGAAATTATTTTTATATAAGACTAAGTAAAAAAAAAAACGTCGAGCACTGTGTGGTTAACTCTATAATAGTTTTTAAATATATTTCTCTTGTGCCATCTACTAGAATTCATTCTCGTGTTACTCGTCATTCAATTAGGTCTCATCCTTTTTCTGTTACTGTTCCTAAGTGCTCCAAAAACTCTTATTCGTCTAGTTTTTTTCCTCGAACATCAGTTCTTTGGAATTCGCTTCCTTCATCTTGCTTTCCTGATTCATTTAATTTGCAATCTTTTAAGTCGTCTGTCAATCGTTATCTTGCTCTACAATCTTCATCTTTTCTCTTCCAGTAACTTCCAACACTAACTAGTGATTGCTTGCAACTTTGTTGGAAGCGAAAATGTTAAAAAAAAAAAATTAAATAGTAGCATGGTTTGTAGTGATATCTTTATTCACCTTGAGTAGAAAAGTTAAATCGTGACGATGTGTTGAACTAATAATTTCTTAATGATAATTTCTTTTTTGCCTTTCCAGATATCGCAGTTTATAAACCCTCATAACTGGAAAAATAACAAACTTTAAATGCTTCTGGGAAGCATTTTCATTAAAAACTAATTAAATGGATCTTTTTTAATCTGACCAAGACAATGTTCAGTACATAACAAATAACTACATTATATATTGATATATTTCATTATTATATAAATGGAATTCAATAGTCTCTAGTCCTATAAAGACTATTTTAGACGTGCTTATGAAAATGCTTTTGCTCAAATCACTTAAGTAGAAAAAAGCTATGTTGAGATTAGACACAAGAATCTAAATTTAAAAAGTTGCTTTTTGAATTCAGTGTTATAGTATTTACAACTAAATACTATAGGACTAAAGACTCGGATATACAAATATATATTCTAAGAGAAAAACTTAATGATAAAATAAACAATTTTTGACATGTCAGCAAAAGCTTTAAGTCAGTAAACAAACTAAATAGCTTATTTTTAGAGAAGCAGTATTACCAGAAGTGTCAGAATATCAGAAAAGCAAAAAGATTTTAAGTATGCTCATTAATTAAAGTACATTAAATAAAACTGTGTTTTAACAACTGCTAATACAAGAAATAGAAAGTTCTAATAGCTTACATAAAAAAAAGCTAAGTAAGACAAAAGGGATTTCTGATGTCTCAGTATTTTTAAAAGTACTAACTTTCACGTCTATCAATTCTGCTAACTTAGCATATTTTTTGCTAACCACAGACCAGAATAAAAAAAAAATTTAAAAGCAAAATATCACTTAATAAAACCGCAGACTGTAAAATATTAGATTTAAAATAGTTGCTCAACTCATGTTTTATTTTGCCAAAAAAACAAACAACACTTATTTACTTTATAAGATTGTTTATTGTTTTTCACATATTATTCTTCAATGTTGTCTTCTAGTAGCATTGGCTGCATACCTTGATTGTTTATTTGGTAATTAGATGGACCGCCGGGAAAATTTGGTGGGGGACCACTAGGAAAATTTGGTGGTGGGCCACCAGGAAAGTTAGGAGGTGGACCAGCAGAAAAGTTAGGCGGAGGAACTCCAGGAAAAGTAGGCGGCGGACCTCCAGGAAAATTAGGTGGCGGTGGGACCCCAGGAAAAGTAGGAGGTGGCGGTGGACCTCCAGGAAAATTAGGTGGGGGTGGCGGACCTCCAGAAAAATTGGGTGGAGGGGGTGGACCTCCGGAAAAATTAGGAGGTGGAGGACCCCCAGGAAAGTTTGGTGGCGGCTGACCTCCAGGAAAATTAAGTGGAGGAGGATGAATGATATCTGAATTACTCATTTGCATCTGCATAGGTGGAGGCGGAATTGGCATATTAGATGGTATTCCGTGCATACTACTAGTGGTATCGCCTAATGTAGGAGGAGGACGCATTGGAGGAAGTTCAGGAATGTGCATAGGAGGTCCTATAAACGAAAAGTAAATTGTTATTTAAATAAGCAGGATATCAAATCAACTATGAAACATGTAAGTATGTGTGTGTGTATGTATGTATGTATGTATGTATGTATGTATGTATATACATATATATAAATTACATATATAAACACATATATAAACTATACATTTAAAAATAAAAAAATATAACGCACCAGAAGAAATTGAATTGTCATCTAACATTTCTTCCTCTACTTGTTGTCCTTCATGAGATGAATCTGGTATATCATCAGAAGAATCTGACTGCATTGGAGGACCACCCATTCCAGAATTTGGAAATGGTGGTGGGGGTCCTCGTATACCTGGCGGTGGACCACGCATAAATGGAATTCCCCGAGGAGCATTTTGCATCTCAAAACCGGGTCGGGGTGGAAAATTTGGACGAGGAGGCGGAGGACGAATAGCAGCATGTCGTTGTTCTGGTCGACGTCTGTTGTTTCTTTCTTCTGCCTCACGTTGCATTTGAGCAAGTTGTAGGTGTGTAAGTTTAAAATAGAACTGAAGAAAGAACTAAAAAAAAACATTGGTCAAGTGAGAAAAAATCTTTGTTAAATAAGAAAATACTTTATATAAAATCAAATCAAAATTTATTTATGTATAATACAAACTTATCTTACTTGTATTTACCTGCTGTTAACTGGTATTACCTGTTTAGTATCTTTGTTCCAAAAACTCCAGAACTTCTGCTCACTTTTATCAATTTCTCGACTTGGAATCTATAAAAAATTTTTTTTCATTAAACTTTATTAAAATGTCTACACTGTCTCAATATTGAGTATTTGAATAAAAGGTTCAAATTAAATGATTGTGAATTGCGGCAGCCTTCAATTTTTTCAATTAATAAAAACTGTTATGTGTTTATACCCTTTATAAAACTGTTTTGCCAACTTTATATTGAAATGTCATAATTTGATGCATTTAGTAGATTATTACAATTTTTATTTGTATAACTAATAATTATGTATTAATAATTATTAAAATTTGTACAGAATTATGTACAAATAATAATTATGTATTAATAATAATTAAAACTTTAATCTGTGTTAAACAATTAAATAATCTAATTCTAATTCTAATAATGCTTATATAATTGACTGTTATAAAAGTTTTAAGTTTAAAAAAATATTTTGACTTCAAAAACATTATTGCATAAATTTTAATTCTTTATTATTTTTATTAAATGATAAAAAACAATTGTAGTTTGCAACCCGTATTAAGCTATATTGAACATGACATAATTTATCATTTATTCATATTATGATGATCTGTTTAAAATATAAATAAATGCTATAAATTCTTAAAAAATTATGATATAATCAAATTTAATAAAGTTTGATATAAAAAAGTAATACTTAATTTGTATAAGTAATGAAACAATAATATTTGTATATTTTAGTTTTATTAGTTTATTTACTATATAAGTATTTTTTACTTATTAATGCAAATAATTCAAGAACCAACACAACAACTAAACAATCAGATAAAACTAGAAAAATAAATGAAGTATTAGAGATATGATAGATGTTTTATTATGTAAATACAAAAAATATAAAAAAAGATAATTTTCTCATTAAATATATAATTTGAAGACTGGAAGTATCTGCAGTTGAAGACTGGAAGTATCTGCAGAAACTCTGAAATTCACAACTTGATTAACACAATTTTAAACAGAAATATTTTGATGCAACATTTTTTTATTAACTTAATTATTTATCTAAAAAAATTATTTTTCTACCTTAAAACCAATAGTTTCATAAGGCTCAGCAGCTACCAATAAGTATTGCCAAGACTTGTCAGGTGGTTCAACCCTCTGTTCATATGCTGACATAAAACGATGTTTAGGTGGCATATCATCTACAATTTCAGGATAATCAATCTAAATTTAACAATACTATTATTATATGGTAACCAAACCTAACTCTATCTGTGAAAAGTCAAAGAACCAACAATGTCCACACATTAAAATGGACAATTTACACTCACTGTACATAAGTATCAAAAAAAGTGTTTTAACAATATATCTTTGTATTTTATAATACTTTGATATTATATGTAACATATTTTACTAATTTTTTTTTTAATTTCTATATAATACTTAAACTTTAAGAAAGTATTTATAACTAATAAAGGATGTAATTATGAATAATCATACCTCTCACATGTCATACATTTATAACATGTTATAAATGAGATTTAAGACATTAAGACATGTCTTCGACCAATTTTTTATTGCCAATGTGTAATACCATTAGTCTATAATATATATAACATGTCTACCATGCATTGAGATTTGTGCCCCCCCCCCCAATGTTTAACATAAGTTAAATTCACCCACACAACCCTGCATGTCTAACATGTATTGAGATTCACTGCCCCCCCCCTCTCTGTCTAACATGTATTGAGAATCGCCTTAATTTTTCAGAAATCTGGAAATTTTTGAAATATGTCATTTGTGTAGCGTTTTAAATAAAAAGAAATTTGGTTGTATTATAATACACAATATACAGTACACAATTTTAAAAGGAAAAAAAATCCAAATCTCTCTTTTTAATATTTAAATGATACCTGAAAAAGTAAACTGTGCTGTCCACTATCCACATCACTCTGTTTTGTAACTAAATCAGAAGTAAAATAGAAATATTACAGATATTGGTTGTTTTTAAAAACTATGTTAAAAATAAATTTCTTTTTTAAAGCAGACTTTTTTTCAGTATTTTTATTTTAAGAACTTTAACAAGAACTTATTTCTTGTATTTTGATTTAATTTATTAATTTAAACTTTTTTATTTAAACAGTATTATTAATGTTATTTAAGAATCTTGATACAGGATAAATCCTTCAGAATGGAAACAAGAAACCCTTAAATCTTAGCTCCCCCTGCCCTAAACATGAGAGCAACAAGTTGATGAAATATTTTTTGCACTATTTTTAACTAGACTTATATTCATTGAGAAATTTTAAATTTCATAGTAAAATACTAAAGTGTTCAGAAATTATGACCATAAAAAGTTTAAACCCCCCTCAATTTGAGGGGGTTGCTAACTTTATATGGTCATAACTTTTGAACACTAAAATACTTTACTATGAAATTTAAAATTTCTTGATGAATGTAAGTCTAGTTGAAAATAGTACAAAAAATATTTCATCAACTTGCTGCTCTCAAGTTTGGGGCAGGAGGGGCTAAGATTTTAGGGTTTCTTGTTCCCATTCTCCTATTAAAGTAATTTTTTTTTTAAAAGAATCTTTTCATCATGCATATAAACGTAAAAAAATTTGGAATATTCTTATTGTTTATAAGTTGGTTATTTCAAATATTTAAAAACCTTCCTACGCCACTGTATATATATATATATATATATATATATATATATACATATATATACATATACATATATATATATATAATATATATATATATATATATATATATATATATATATATATATATATATATATATATATATATATATATATATATATATATATATATATATATATATATATATATATATATATATATATATATATATATATATATATATATATATATATATACATATATATATATAGATACATATGCATATAATAGATATATCATATGTAAATACGAATAAAAAGTGCAGTCAACAGTCGTGCTAGATTACACCAAAACAAGGTGAGATTGTTTGTATTACTTAGAAAATTTGAAGAACAACGAGTCTAATTGATTTTGAATACAAAAGTTTGATACTTTCATGCACGACAAGGCAACCTGTCATCAGACTAAAATTGTTAACAAATGGTTCCAAAAAAACGCAATAAGCATTCTTGCATAATGGTTCAGCCACAAGCAAGGAACATTAACTGCATTTTTATTCACCTAATTTAAATCCATTCAAAAACTGGATAAAATTAAAGGCAGAAATTTCTAAATAGAAACATACCTTCTATCAGTAAACAGCCCTCAGAATTAGGGTCAGCATTCGCCAATGCCAATGCCAACCTAAAATGGTCTGAGGTCAGCTTTTTTTTTACCAACCTTGTTTCTATGTCATTATGGTGAAACCTTTATATTAAAAACTTTGTGCTAACCTGATGCTGAGTAAAAGTAATGTTAAACATAAAAGGTTTTTCTGTCTGGTGAAAATTGAAATCTTTGGTTCTAACTTTAAAACTTTGGAAATCGCTCTGACACCCACTTAATCTTTTTACTATTATCAGCAAGGTCTTTAATTTTTAAAACTTTAAATTCTTCATCTTCACAACTTACTCTCAGACAATCTTTTTATTCAACTGCAGACTTGTTAAATATAATAACAGAAAACATAATAAAAGGTTCTACTGTTGCATTTGATGTAAGTAGAAAGGTAAGTGTTATTGCTCTAGACATAACTTTCAATAAAATCTGGCATGTTAGCCTTTCCATAAGCTCTCTTCATATAGTGTACCTGTTAAATTATTAATTCATTCTTTTGCAACTGCAATATTAAAGTTGTACTTGATGGACAACACTTAGCTTTATCTCCAAAAAATTCTTGGGTACCACAGTTCTTGGTCCTGTGTTTCTCATCTGATATTATTAATTTTTCAGACTTACTTTTAAAGTGGCACACCCTAGCCAAAAAAGTACTATAGGGACCTTTACGATTTTGAAACAAAAAAAAAAAAAAAAAAAGACAAAACTAGAAACACTTTTTAACTTGAGTGTTTTAATTTAATAGGGTTCAAATCTGAACTTTTTTTGTTCTAAATTCTTATAGGATCCTATAGGACTTTTTGACAAGGGCATTTAACTGATTTACCCTATTAAATACTCTATTCTTAAAAAAAAAGTTATCACTTTTTGAGTGCTTTGAACAGACACCTGATCTAGAATCTAAAGTTCTAAAGTTTTGATTATTAATAAAAAAAAATGCACAAACAATCAAATTTGTTTAAAAATTTCTACAGATTTTTCATAAAGATTTTCTCTTCTACAATTTTTAATATCTATTGCACCTCTAGAAATGAATACAATGTTAAAATTATCATTTCAAATAATGTAAAGTTTACAGGCTTTACTTAATACTAAGCTTATACTTTTTATTTTTAAGGTTTGAGAAAAGGTTTGAGACAACCATGACCATGATCATGACACAGACTGTGGGAAAATGATAACCTATAAGTTTATAAATGATAGACTGGGAAAATGATAAAATCAAAATAAATATACATCACTTTTATACTTAAATATACTTTTTAACCAAATTTTTAGATTAGTTTAACTTCAAACACAAATTTTTTTTTAATTTTTGATTTGATTACCTCAAAAGAAAAACTAATAAAACTAAAACAATACATGTTAAATACCTTTATAACCAGGACGACCAATTTTGACAAACTTTTTTAATGTCACCCTTTGCTTTTCCTATAATAAACCATATTAACATAACTAACAAAGTATATTGACACTTAGTCAAATAACAGGTAATTTACATAATACTAAATTTGGGGGTTTTCAAACTTTTATTTTTAGGGATAAAAATATTAAATTTTATTCTGATGTGAAACTGCTGATTTTAATATAAACTTTATCATGATCAAGAGTGATCCTATAAATTCAAAAATAAATTTTATCATGATCAGGCATGACCCTGTTGATTTGGAACAAATTAATACATGTTTTTAACACTATATTGATTAATTAAACAAACAAAAAAACATTTTGTTTGTTTAGTTAATTTGTCAAGGGGGTGCATTATTGAAGGGCATGCATTAGAACTGAATAATAAAAATTTAAATGTTTGATTTTTGACTTTTAATTCATTTGAACTCTGTTTGGTCTCCACTGCGTATTGTGGACAATTTTTTTTTAACCTTTAATTTAAACGTATTATATTACTACCCCCTGATACTGCAGTTTCATTTTTCATATGATCAAACTAGATCTTAAAAAAATAAAATTAGTTTTTTTAAAAATCTCAAACTTGCTTTCGCTTGTGTGAAACTTAAAAAAAAGTTGTAAAAAAAGTTTTTAAGAAATAGTAAGTATGGTATCTATGGTAACTTCAACTATGATTATAAAGAAAAGCAATTTGGTTGATTATAAAATAAATTTTTTTTGTTTTGTTTTTAAAATATTGCTCATTAACCTGTTTCGATTTCTCCAAAAGTAAATTGAGCCTAATTTACCATATTAAACAAAGTATTGAACTTAATACTTTGTTTAATTTGGTAAATTAGGCTCAATTTAATTTTGGAGAAATTGAAACAGGTTAATTGAGCAATATTTAATACTTTGTATTAATATACTTAATTTATGTTAAAAGATTATTTTTAAAAGCAGTGTAGCGAATGAGAAAATCGCAAAAAATGTGTACAGCTATATATAATTTGTTTTAATACCGGAGCTGGTTGTGATGGTGTTTCTTTTGCATCTTTGGCTGCTCGTCGAGCTCTAAACAAAGATAAAATTGAATAATACCATTAAAAATGTGAACCATTTTGTAAAAAAAAAAAACATTTTTACAAATCAAAAACCTAAATAAAAAAAAAAAAAAATACATTAAGCAAATCATTGCCAAAGCAAAGAATCAAAAGAGAAAAATTATATTAGTTTTATTATTTACTGTTTTCAAAATAAAATAAAAAAATTGATCTATCATTATATATTATTAAATAAACAAAACATCTGTAACAACTTAATTCCAGTTTATCCAAAAAATATTCTTTTATAAATTAGGTTAGTAAAAATTTAGATTTTCTTAAGTGTGTGTGTGTGTGTGTGTGTGTGTGTGTGTGTGTGTATGTGTGTAGAATTCATTAAAAATACTGCTATGCATAAACTTTTTTTAAATATATATATACACATATATATATATATATATATATATATATATATATATATATATAAAATTCATTTTAATCGAGATTTCGCTGATTTATTGTGATCAGCATCATTAGAATTGTTATAATAAAAACAAACTTTTAAAAAGATAACATTAAAAAGATCATATTAAAATACAAAAAAAGTTTTTAAAACGCTGAAAACAAAAAAACAAAAAAACAAAAATCATAATTCTATTGATTGTAGTAAGTAAAAATAATTGATTAGTAAAAACAATATATATATATATATATATATATATATATATATATATATATATATATATATATATATATATATATATATAATATAATAATATAATAATGAGTAAATTAATTATAAGTATTTAATAATAATAACTAAATGATTGATAAGGATGGTGTCACTCAGAATTCTGATCAAAGTCAACAGAATTCTAATCAAAGGAGTGATACCAGTTTTTAAATATCATGATTAATAATAAGCATACACACCAGGGGCTATTCTAGACTGTCAACCATATATGGATGTCACCCAAATTAAAAATTGAGGACCTTTTTTTTTTATTATGTTTTTTACGGCAAATATTATTTTTTCCACACAAAAAATGCTGATATTTGGCAATATTTCTGGTAGATTTCTCCAGGACGGTAAGGTACCGTCGCCCATACTTTTTTCCTAGAATAGCCCCTGCACACATAAAAAATACATAAACTAAGTAAATATTTAAAAATCATACTTTGATGATAATAATAAAAAATAAACAAACAAGAAGTTAATGATAATAGTTATAGTAATCATAATTAAAAAAATAAGAGTATATTTTAATTATTAAATCATGTCAATAAGTTAGAATAAAATTGTTCTTAGAATTTTTTTAAATTGATTTTGTTTAAGATTAAGAAAAGACAATAAAGGTGTTTAAAGTTGTAGTTTTTTGAACTCTTCACTATCCATACAAAACTCTTGTTCCATTCACTAATGCACTGATAGACAACAGAATGTTGTCTATCAGTGCATTACCATAATTCAAAATTACCATAATTCTGAGTTTTAAAAGATGGTACACTAAGTTTTCCATTATATATGTTTATAGTAGAGTATGTATTATTCTAATTTCTGCAAAAAAGTGTGTTGTAGAAGAGGGTAAATTTTTATTAAGAGAGTCAAAAATAAAAAGATTAGCAAATTTTACAAGCACTGGAAAGGTTGGAGTTTTTAATTTTTTGATAGATTCTGATGTTTCTGACTTGAAAGGTTGGAAGTTTATGATTCTTATGGATTGAGGTTGAGAGCTATCTTTCACATCAATTTTCATTGATGTGAAAGATAGCTCTCAACCTCATTGATGTGATAGTTGCCGTTTTGACCCCAAATTTGACAACAGTAACTAAGATGCGATAAAAATAATGCACAGTAAATATTCTTTAGTGTGAATTTATTGACATAATGATGAATTATTGAAAGCACGCCATTAGCTTGAGTTTCTTGCGTAGCTCATCAATATGCAAACTCCATGAAAGAATGCAGTCAATCAAAACACCAAGATATTTGATAACTTTTGTAGGATATTTAACAATTCTAAAAATCAAATTTTGATTTGAATTTTAGAATTGCTGTTTAGATTAATTGTGTTTTTTTCTAGAAGATGAAAAAAAGATAAGTTCATTTTTTTTGGCGTTTAGACATATTAGGTTAGCATTTAACCAGTGAAGAATATCTTTTAGATCCGAATTTATGCTTTACATAGAAAGTTATACGATTTGTTGATCTGCAATAGGTTTGTGTCATCAGCAAATAGATGAATTGAAGAGAAGCGAATAGAGTTATTTATGTCATTAACATAGATTAAGAACAAAAGAGGACCAAGAACAGAACCTTGAAGAACACTGCACACAATAGATTTATTAGTAGAATTATAACCATTAATACTTACAAATTGTTTCTGATCGAAACCAGTCATTTACAATACCATGAATATCAACGGTATCAAAAGCTTTTTGTAAATCTACAAAAATACAACGAAAAAAATGACCAGAGTATCGAGAGCTTTTTTGATTTTTTCAGTTATACTTATCAATGCATGGCAGGTAGAATAACCAAATTAAAATTCATTTAAACAGTTAAAAGAGTTAAGAAAAGAGTACACTCTAGAATGCATTAGTTTTTCAAGAAGCTTACTAATGTTAAATAAACGAGAAATAGGTCTGTAGTTAGTACATAAAAATTTAGAGCTGTTTTTAAATATTGGAATAAAAAGATAATTTTAAAACATTCAGAAAAGTTCCATTTATGAATTAAATAGTATGAATAGTAACTATATTAAAGGCTTTTCTTTCTATAGTCTGAAGAATTGCTTCCGTCATAATCATTAAAGACAAACCTTTAGGATCTGAATTAGGTATTTTTCGGATTTTATTTTAACATAAAAAATAGCAAGTATTTAATAAAATTTAATTAACTGGTGTATGTCAACAAGATATAATTTAGTTCGAGTCTTTAAGTAATTAATATATCAATAATAACTGGAATAGCTTCATTGAAAGGACGGATAATTTAACTATATCAAATGAAACTTGAACTTCATTGGGATTTATTTTCCATTGCCTGGCTTCATTAACAAAACTATTCAAATAAATAAGTCTATTTTGTTTTTATTTAGTGCTGGTTGAATAATATTGACAAGATATGCAAATGTTCCACATAGTGTATTGATTATAGATACAACAGGACTCATTGAGTAATTTTTTTCGAGTTTGTGTGCCTTAATCATTCTCTATAATCTAGGTGAGACACAAACTGATTGATACATTTTAAAATAAGTAGTTGTGTCTAGCCTATTACCTTTTCCTAATTTACACAACTGTTAATGAATTTTGGTACTGAGTGTGGGTGTTGGGTCATGATTCTGCTATTTTTACTTTGTTCTTTTAATTTAATAGATGCATCCTTTTGATATAATAATGCAAAACCTGTGCTTTTATCAAATTTTAATTTGTTTATGCCAAAAGTTAAGGAGAGGTTGATGCAATGCAATTTTCAAGCGAAAGTAAAACTGTAAAGCTTGATATATGTTTTAATATGTTTTAACACTACATAATTTGAAGTTTACATACGTTAAATATTTGCATACACTTTTTTTTTACGTTTTCTTATAAAATAACTTTCTTGCCATTACCTCGGTTGCAATGGCTGCCAAGAATTCTGTGTCAAAAAGGCTCAAAAGGGCACTACTACTACTACTACTACTACTACTACTACTACTACTACTACTACTACTACTACTACTACTACTACTACTACTACTACTACTACTACTACTACTATTAAGTTTAGTATTCTTATATAGATAACTTTTTTTTTTCAAACTATGTATTTTTTTATGATAAAAAACTTAAATTATACACACAATTTAAATTTATACACACAAAAATGACTTAATGTTTGAAAATTAACTAACTTGTATTCTTTTTAAAATATTTTTAAATAAAATCATTTACAATCAATGCATTTTTGTTGAACTAACAGCTTAGTTATTTGTTATATAACTAATGTTCAAATTACCTAATAATATCAATAGTTTAAAATATCTCTCGCGCATACAGATTTTCATTTAATTAAAAAAAGAAATTTGATAACATCCAAGTAATTTAATGTTTAATTTTTTTATTAAATATCAAAACAAATTTAAAAAAACTAAATTTTTCATTTAATACTAAATAAAATAGTTTTATGAAATGCTACTGAAAAGTGTTGCTTGCCTCTTTTTATTCACCTCCATTAAGATAGGTTTCTATTACAATTCAATAATAAAAAATAAAAAAAATTAGTGATCACGCAATTGATAATTTATTTTAAATTAATTTTAATTTATTGCAATGACTTTGCATAAGCGAGAAATAAAAAAAAACAAAAAATAATAAAAAGATTGAATGAAAAAAACAAAACAAAACAAAAAAACAAAGTACAGTTGGATGAGAAAATTTTCTTAGTTACATACAAAAATTTTAAATAATAATTTTATATCTCTGATTTTAATGAGCAGAAATAAAAATAATTTTTAATCTCTGCTCATTAAAATCATTTTAAAAACTGCTAATGTTAACTAGTCATTAATAAAGTCATTAACTCTTGTACGCAGATACTATTTAAATTTGACGCAGATACTATTTAAACTATTTACCTGAGAAGACAATTGTTTTATGAAACACTATTATAAAAATTACTAATATTACATAAAACAAAATTTTACTAAATATATTTTTAAGAATCTTATCATAGAAAATTTAAATTTATCTTAAAATCGTTCATTCAATTATTACATTTGCAGCAAAAACTTTTCAGAAAATACATATAAAGATTTAAAGAGAAAAGTGACCAAGTACAGCTAAAAAAAAAATCTTTTTAGTTAAATACAGTAATTATTATATATTTTTATATTATTAATAAAATAGCATATTAAACATTTTTATTAAAATAATAATAAAAAGAGAGTTTCAATCATTTATGAAAAAGAGATAACCACAAGAAAAATGAAAGTAATCTAAGTAAAACAAAAAAACAAAAAAAACAAAAAAAAAGAAGATTAAGATTATATATCTGTCAATAAAGTAAATTAAAGTAGCATGTTGTAAACAACTTGAATCTTAAACACTTTTTTAAAATTTAAATGATTTTATGAAATTTTAGTATATGCATTTTTGAAATTGTTATAATTGTTTGTAAACTTTTTTCAAAACTCTGATTGTTTTTCAACTGGTCAAACATGACCGTTGAAAAACAAACCGGCAAAAATTAATGGGAGGTCAAAATAGCCATTTCAGGTGATTGTTACTTGTTGACCGGCTAATATTTTCCATGCTATCTGTGAATAGTCAAAATGTCATAAAGTTATGTAAAGTCAATATTTATTTAAGGTATCCCTGTGAAGTCAGTATATACAACAAAGTCAAAAAAAAAAAAAAAAAACTCAGAAAAAAAATAACTCACAAATTCTGTTGATGTTTTTTTCCTTGAGTATGAGCCAAATAGCTACCCTAAAAACAAGATACCATTTAATATTTTCATTACTTATTAATTGGGCTAAACAAAAAAGTGAACTTCAAAATCTCAAATTTCACTTTTTTTGCTTAGCTGGATTAGTTAGTAATTCTGCTAGACTTTAATAATACATATTTTTAAACATCTTCACTTCCAACAAGGCAATAAGCAACCACTATTAGAGTTGGAAGTTAGAGGCAGAGAAAAGATAAAGTTTATAAAGCAAGATAACAATCAACAGATAACTTATAAGATTGCAAATTATATGAATCAGGAAAACAAGTTTAAGGGAGCGAATTCCTAAGTTTGATGTTCAAGGAAAATTAAAAAGGATTTTTGGAACACTTAGGAGCAGCCACAGTAAAAGAATGAGACTTAATTGAATGAATAGTAACACTAGAATGAACATTAGTAAATGGAAAGAGACACTAGCTCTTTAAAGCAGCAGCCATTATTGTATAAAAGAGAAGAAAAATTAAAAGAATGTGACAGTGGTCAAAGGTTGGCTGCAAGAGCAGGTCCAACTACAATTACAATGCATTTATAGGAAGATCTAGATTGTTGCAATAAGGATTAGCTGAAAAAAATTGAGTTTTATCTTAGTTAAAGTTCACAAGCCACTGAGAGCACCATGCTGTAGCAGAAGTGAGATTCTTTTCAAGCTCAAATGCCACCTCCAAGCAATCAAAGAGTATTAGCTTCTAATTAAGACAAGAATAAATAGTAAAACAATACCACCTTAGATGTGAGAATTTCAGGAAATTCTTTATTGTAAATTAAAAAAAAAGTATAAGGTCAAGTATTGAACCTTGTGAAAGTCCTGAAATTAGAGGAAATGAAGAAGAGTGCTGCCCATTGAGGACACCTTTTATATAAAGATTGGTAACAAAGGATTCAAGAATCTTAAAAATGTTACCTGATCCACCGCAAGAAAAAAGCTTATGAAGAAGACCAGCATGTCAAACTTTATAAAAGACTTTAGAAATGTCGAGAGTGATAACCTTAACCTCTCCACTAATGTCTAAATAATATCTATCTAATGCACAATAAAACCTATCAGTTATTACTGTTAATAAATCAGCAGCAGAACAAGCAGATTGAAATCCATATTAACATTCAGAAAATAAGTTATTAAATTCAAGATGAGAAATTAAGTGTGTTAATTAAAAACTCAAAAACTTTGCTTATGATTGGAAGAAGACTTATGGGAAAGTAGTTAGATGAGTCAGATCGCTCTCCAGAATTTTGAAAATACGGAAAACAGATGGCACTTTCCAGTAGGCTAGAAAACAAAACTCTGATAAGTACTTGTTAAATAGTTTTGAATGACAATAGCTCCGGACAACACTTCTGCAAAATTATAATAGGTATGTTGTCTGTACAAACTATAGAAGAGTCTAAACAGGAAATTACTTTAGATACAGTAGCTGGAGTGATACAAATGTCAAGCAATGGATCAACCTGTTGTTGGCTATATCAGGTAGGATGAGATTAGTGTAAAAAAGAGATGAGATTGATGAAAAGTTTTTAGCAAACAATTCAGCTTTGTCTTTAGGTGAGGTAACAAAACCTGAACCATGCAAAGGAGGAAAATAAAAAGATTTGCCTTTTTTATAGACACTGTTAAAGGTTCCCAGAAGTTTCTAGAGCCTAATTTTTGAGATGAAATACAAGGTTTTGTGACCTGAGAATAACGGGCTTTAGCATTAGACAAAACTTTTTTACAATGGTTTCCATAATGATAGGAAACAGATAACAAACAATAATATACAACAGTAAACAGTTTTCTGGAGAAAAGAAAAAGAAAATATGAAAAATAATACTGGAAAAAATATGATAATAAACATTTAAAGTACTTTTAAGAATTTCAAAAAATTTACTTTGAATGCTGAAATATAAAAAGATCATATTTCAAAAATAAAAAAACAACTAACTTATTAACCTAACTTTAAAGTGGAATATCATAAAACATTCCCATATAATATCATCTTATTGCGAATCAAATGAATTTTTAAAAATAAAATTTTTTGTAAATTTTTGTCAACTTTTGTGCCTTTCAATTCATTATACATGCACCTAAATTGTTAAAGCACCCAAATTCAATTCTTAAAGTGTACACTTAAGTTTTAAATGAAAACAAATAAATTTTAAAGTTTTGAAATTTTGTACATTTTTGTATGCTGTTGTTACATTTTGTGTAATTTTCATTTCCTGTTGCTTTGTTGAGTAATTTTCCTTTGCTGTTCTCCTATGTTTTACAATGTAATTGAAATGGGATGTTTTGTAAATGCGATGTTTTGTAATGCAATTGAAATGTGATGTTTTGTAATGTAATTGAAATGTGATGTTTTGCAATGTAATTGAAATGTGATGTTTTGTAATGTAATTGAAATGCAATGTTTTGTAATGTAATTGAAATGTGATGTTTTGTAATGTAATTGAAATGTGATGTTTTGTAATGTAATTGAAATGTGATGTTTTGTAATGTAGTTGAAATGCGATGTTTTTGTTGTAAAGCTTTTTTTTTTTTTCAAGTTTTTATTAAATATTTAAATGTTTTTATTTGGAATAGATAACCAATTGTAAAAAACTAATTTACTTTTCCTTGTTGCATTAAAATAGGAGAATGATGTTAAAAAAAGTGTGAAAGCATGGACATTAAACAAATGTGTTGTTTTTATTAACACAAATATAAAAAAAAGGAAAAAAAAAAAGCAAACATCTATAATGACAAATCATGTTGCAAATAACAACAGGAAAAAGACATAACTAAAAAGATAATAGATAAAAGTTAGCAAAGTTATGTATTTAAAATCAAAGTTATGTATTTAAAATAAAAGATATATACACCTTTCATAAAAAAATTCATTGTTGACTGTGATGCAACAACCCATATAGTTAACAAGAATAAATAATTAATATACCTTTTAAACCATAGGAACATTTTATTCAATTGGCAGATGATTCAAAATTTAACAACATTGCCCTGAAACAAGAAACTATTTCCGCTGAATACCTTCTATTGAAGAACTAATGAAGTTCCAGCGAAACTTGAAAATATTTTATTTATACCAAGTTACAGCTGGTATTAGCTGTGTATTTTTAGTCCAAGCATCTGCACAAAGTTGTTCCAATGGCAAAAGACAACATGTTTTTAGTTTTACTGACAATTATTCTGGATGTTTACTTGCTTATTCAACATTCCTTCAACAGCATATTCAAATACTTATTCATCAAAGCTTACATTATACTTATTGAAACAAAAGTCAGAAAATGTAGACATTGCTCCAAACGATAAAATAAAACCATTATTTATTTAAAAATGAGATTTTCTTATCAAAGCATGTTTGTCAAATTAAAGGTGATAAAAGAGGTGAATATATTTTGAGAAAACTTCAGGAACCCTTAAGAAAGTACTGTATAAACATGAGCATACTTCAACATCATACTCTCCCTGTCAAAATGGTACGCTGTACTTTTTTGAAACAGCTAGATAGGTGCAAATTTACTGATTAAAAACTCTTATGGATGTATGCAATAATGACTAAAGACGATAAATCATTAATGCTAAATGGAATTGACAAAAATGAAATCAATAAACTGCTTCAACAAGATCAAAATCAACAGACCAAACCACAAAACTCAAATCAAATAAAACCATAAAATCAAATAAAACCATAGGAATCCAGAGAGATTTAGAAGACCACCTAATTATTGGAACAATTAAACTATTGATAACTAAAAAAAAAATCCATTACATCTTGTAAAAGTACACATTTTTTATAGTCATTCTATCCACAGTAAAAAAGTCCTGCAAATGGAAGAAAGTGATGGATGAAGAAGTAAAAAAAATTAAATAAAAATCTTAAATAAACTCTCACTATCTGGACCAATGATATAAGTATAATTAGAGAAAAATAGATTTACTCAGTAAAAATAAAACCTGATCAACTACTATATAAAACCTAATATATAGTAAAGGTTTTACTACATATTAAATTTATTAGATTGAACTAGAATCTGAAAATATTTGGGTTTGATACCCTCTCCTAAAACCATTATCTAGATTTCAAAATTCAGAGACTCTTTTTATCAATCATAATTAACAAATAATCAGGGGCTATTCTAGACCCTTTTTGAAAATTCAGAAATTGAGGATCTTTTTTTTATACAGCAAATATTGTTTTTTTTTTTTGCGAAAAAATGCCTACATATGGCAATATTGCTGTCAAATTTACTTAGAGAAGGCGCAGGCACTGGGGTACCGCTGCCCAAATAATTTTCCTAGAATAGCCCCTGGTATTGTTTAAAGAATTTATGTTATTACCTCATTATTGTGAAGTGTTAAACAAAGTTTGCACTCATAAGATCCCAAGTGATTTTTCATAAAATAAGGATCCTTAAAAAAAAAATTAATTGTCAAAGTATAAAGAAATAAAAAAATCCTAATATTTGCAACAATTTTTAAAATGTAAATGATTTTTAATTTCACAAATAACTTTAATATAAACTTGTGCTGTGAAAAGTGAGTTATTATAGTTTGAAAATAACCTTGTTTAAATCAATGGTTTCAAGGGCAAGTTGTCTCAGCCTTTCACGACGATCTTTGTTTGTTTCAGACCATGATGCTACTCCACCACTGCCTGTTTTTCCACCCACACGATTCTGAAAATCCATTTTGCTTTTACTTTATAAAATAGTTCTATATATTCTAAACAAAAAATATGTTATATATTAAATATACAATTATATTATATCTATAAACTATATTCTAAACAAAAGCAATAATTCATTATAATAATACATCATATATATACAATATATATACACAAATTAAAATATAAAATTTACCAAACATAATACTAAAGAAATTCTACTAAAACATTAAATCAATAATAAAATAAAGAAAAAACAAATAAATAAAAACATAATATATATCATTAACACAACCTACAACCTTATTATTTTATTCATGTATGATTTGCAGTAGTGTTTTTATGTTAGAGCCATTGCTTTATAAGAGAGGTACCAAGTTTGATCCCCACTATATCTCTGGTAAAGTTTCTTATTTTATGTTTCAAGATTTAGAGAGGGTTATAAGAAGAATTAAGAAACTAAAAATTTATAAAAGTAAAAATAAAATTCAGCTTCCTTGGCTGTAGTAGACCCCTCAGCCTTGAGGTGATAATTGGAATACAGTAAGCTTCTATTGATGGTCCTGCATTGTTTCTGAACTACATTAATGATAATTTCCTTATAATTTTACATTTGTGGGTCTATTTGCTGACTATTTAGTTGTATTCTGTTTATTTAGTCTATATTGACTAAATTATATACTTCTGTCTTGACAAAAAGTATTCACTTTTTGATTGCTTAGAACAAGTATTCAATCGTGCAAATCTGATCTCTCTTCTATAGCATGTGAATTTTAACTTCAACAAAACTCAGTTATATACTGCAAACAATTATTACAGTATTGTTGAAATTCCTATATTGATGAATGGCAACCCTTGCTCAGAGACTTCTACTTAACATCTTCTTGTGATAACTTCTATTGTTATCATTATCAATACTATAGTTATCAACTACTTATTATATATTATTTCACCATAATTTACTTTATCAAAAGAGTATTACTTATTTATGCTTAACTTGTTAAACATAAATAAGTAATACTCTTTTGATAAGGTAAATTAAAAGAAATAAAATAAAATTTATGTTATTACCTCATTATTGTTTTCATAATTCAAATACATTATTTGAAATTAGTACAAACTTAGTACAAGTACCAGTAAAAATTAAAATGGTAATGTAAACTCTAGATTTAGTATTTTAGTTTTACTTGATACTCTTTAGCATAAATCAAAAACTGATATTTGAGCACTCGAATACTCATTAATCAGAAGAGTACTGACACAAGTACTGACAAAATTACATTATGAGTACTCGTGAATCAGTAGTAACTGGTACACGAGTACACACTTATTATAAGACCAAACACACTTTTGTCTGGTCTTATAATAAGATAGTAATAAAAACTATATTTTATAAACAAATGATTTAATAATTTAAAAAATTATTATTAAAATTAACTTGTAATGCAAAAAAGATAAAGGCTTGAACGTTTGAAAAACTTAAACTACACTTCTGCGCGCACAATTTAATACCGATTTTTTTTTTTTTGGAAAAGCCGTTAGTAAAGTCCTGACACCGGTAATGTCAGTGATTTTTGTTACTCCTAAGAAAAAATCTCAAATTAAATTTTAGTTTAGCAGGCAGGCCCGTCTTTAGGTCATCCTGGCCCCCCAGCGAAATAACAGTTGTGGCCTCTTCAGACCCTTCCCCCTCCCCTTCTCAAATAAAAAAAATATCCGTTTTTCAAGTCGATTTTTTTATATGCAAATATAGTACTAATTAAAACTACTGCATTGCCCAAAAACGAACAAGTAAATGCTAGCGTTAAAGGCATTTTTTTTGTCTACTATATTAGAATTGTAGCAATTTCCTTTTTTTCAATACCCTTTTTGAGGTTTAAAAAAAACTTTTCTCCATTACAATTTGTTACAGCAGCAGAGAAAAACATCCTTAGAACAACAATAACGTTTGAGACTGGATTTAAGTTTTTTTTGATTAAATAACCAGAAGTAAATTGAACGATTTATTTTTTTGGATTTACTAATATTAGTTTCAATTGAATTGGAAACAAAGTTCTTGTAATGCAATTTTTTATTCGGAGTATAAATGTCCGCATCGTTTAGGTAAATTTAAAAAAGTTCTTTAACGCACGCTGTGATCATAACAGAATCCATATCTAAAAGAATCCAAAACAAGAGAAGCATAAGCTTGTCTTAACCTTTCAATCTCAGTTACAAGTTGATCTATGGTGACCTAAAATTATAACCTCAGAAATCATTTTTCATTTCCTAATAAAGTCTAATACCTCAATAGACGTCAGTTCGTTTTCCGTTTTACTGGCTCATCAGAGCAGTGACGGATCTAGGGGTATGTCCATTCTGAATCCGTTAAATAGGATTAAAAACAAAGAATTAAAATGAAAGAAACATGAAAAAATAAATAATTAAACAAATAGCTAAATAATAAAGTGAAAGAAAAATATCTTAAGCAATATTACAGTGTAATATATCCAAATGAATAAATACAAATGCATTATTTATTTTATTATGTTGTTTTTTTTAGACTTTTATTTTAAGGGACTTAGTGGTAAGACTGAATTTGTCTTTTTCTTGCCCCAGCCATGTATTTATATATTACACTTTTATTTTTATTATTAAAATTTATTAGAGAAAAATTCGATTCCTTGTTGGCCTGTCTAAATGCCCTGGTCCCGCAGCGGCTGCCTAGGCTGGATATGTGTAAAAACGAGCCTGTTAGTAGGTTGTTAGCAGTTATTTATTTCGGTTATCGTTTACAATTTTTATATATTTCATTTTATCAGTTTTTGGGTATAATCTGCACTAAAGCACTATAAATATTACGAGATTTTTTAGTGATTTTTATTAATATGTTATATGACAACAAATGCATTTTTAACTAAATATGACTATAATTTAGTTTTTGAAAGTTCTGATGAAACGAGGTCTGATAAAAGTGGAATGATAACTAGTTGTTTAATCTGCAGAGATTGATTTTTTTTTAATCAAACACTTTAAACATTTTGAATTACAAGTTGATTATGGAAATTATTACAAATGAAAAAATTAAAAATGCACATAGTTTTTGTTAAAAAATTGTATTAGAATTTGATGAGAAATATGCATTTTTGTTATAATATTTGTTAACTTATAAACATTGGAGAAGATGCAAGTACTGAAGAAACCAACTCTCTATCTTTACATTAATAGTGGTTTGCTTAAATAATAAATGTAATGTTCAACGTTTAGAATATGGGTTCAAGATATAACAACATATAGAGTTTATGTCTATAAACGTTGGTGTTGTAAGCCAAGAAAATATCAAAGTAAAAATAAGAATACCCAGAATTCAAGTAACCAAAATTTTCTCTACTCATTTAATACGGCTTATAAACTTGAATGGTAATCCTCCTAGTGATGGTATCACAATAAAAGATCTAATCCTGATTTGCAAAAAAGATTAAGTTCAGGAAAGTCATCCTGTTATAAAAAATTACTTTAATCTACGTCATATTTAAATAAGAAAATAGCATCATGGAAGTTATATAAAACAATAGACAAAATTTAAAAACTTAATATTGTTAATATCATTTTTATAATGATAATAACAATAATGTTAACAATAGTAAAAATTTGCTAAAATTTTAAAACGCGGGATCATGAGACAATTTTATATCCCGCTATATGGTTAATAAAAATGTTTTAGTTTGTAGTCAATTCAGCAAAAAAGTTATGGAAAAACTGAAAAAACATTTTTATTGCTTTTATGTTTCGGCAGTTTAATTATATAAATATAATTGATATTTCAATATAAATACAGATGGCCGGAGCAAGAAGAAGACATAATTTGTCTTATCGCCAAGCCCTGAGAATTGATTCCGAAAAAGATAAATCATTACGTACAATATATATAATAGGTGCCAATATTCATAAAATAAGACTTTCTTTTTGAAAAGATAAAACAAAAAGTTACAAAGAAATAAATAAAGAGAAAAAGAAAAAAAAGTAACAATAATTATAAGGCTTTGAAAATAGCAAAAAGTTTAAACACTTTTATTTAACTGCAGTGATGGATCCAGGGATGGGTGTATGCATCCCCCACCCCACCACCACCAGAATCTGAAAGCCCTAAATTATCTTGGAAACGGAGGACCTTTTTTTTTTTTTTTAGGAGACGCAAATGTGATATAAAATACAAAAATATTTCAACATCATATTTCTTGGATCCGTCACTGTTTAATGGATCCATTAAACAGTGACGAATTAAATTTCCTTTAAAATATTAATGTAATTAGTAAAAAAAAAAGTAAAACAGCAAATTTGTAGAAAAAAAAGTAATAAATGAATGTATAAATAAAAATTTAAAAAATAGAAAAAAAAGTAAAAATAAAATGTCGGCTAAACTCTTTTAAAATAAATATAAAAAAAGATGTTAATTAATTATCATTAAATATATTTAATTCCTTATCGATTTTGCTTTTGACTAATAATTTTAACTGGTATACTAATTAAAATTATTAGTCTGTGATTGGAGACGCTTGTAACTTATCCAGATTTTAATACTGGTACCACCCTTGCAAGTTTAAGTTTATTAGGAAAGATTTCTTGTTCCAGAAATATATTAAAAGTATACCATAAAGTATTATTAGTATGAGAATCAAAACTTTGAAGATGGTCTTTTCTATTGAAATTTGAGCACCCGTGGTGCAGTGGTTTGAGCGCTTGCTTCCGAATCAAGAGAACCGAGGTTTGATGCCAACACTAGCCTTGTTTGAAATATATGAAGAAACGTGGGTGTAAAAGGTGTTAAATGCTTTTCATTGGTGCTTTATGATAAGACAGTAAGGACTTTTTGGTCAAATAAAACAAACTAAAAAGGATTTAATAATAACCGTTATACCAGAAAAGTAGATTTTAGTAATTTCTATTTACTTAAAAGTATTCAATTTCTTGTGTTAACTTAGTTGGAACAGGGTAAAATGACAAAACTGTTCAAAACAATAATGTTTGTCTTCTGAATTCAGTTTATCACCTTTGTTTAAAACTTATTTCAAATACGTT